TCATATTAGGAGAAATATCCTGGTTCAGACAAAATATTTTTAAACTCCTATTTATTTAAAGGACAGAAAATAAGATAAAAAAATATATGTAAATTAAAAAAAGAAAGGAAAAAGGACTAGTGTTCAAAGTTCATATTTGAGTTGTTTTTAACTAAATTAATATATTATTTTCCTCTCTAACAGTCATCCTTAGATTAATATAGTTGTTTTAGATTCATACATGTGCTTTCACACTGTACAGAAATCAGTATTGTGTTAAAAATAAGTTTTGAGAAATGTATAAACTGAAACGCAGTTTATAATTATAATAGTGATAGATATAATTAATTATTGAAATTATGCAGCAATTTGGAGAAGGGTTGAAAAGAGTGGCATGGTGATTTGTTTAACCAAATATGAACCCAGATCGTAAAAACTCCACAAAGTCCACAGCGTGATTAGCAAGGTCTTCACCCTCTAACTCCAACTAAGCCGGCTAAAACTGGTTTTTTCTTCCCTTATTTTCTGTCTCCCCAAACACTCCGCAACAACACCAAAAATAAAAAATAAAAAATGAAAAATAAAAAATATAAATAAATAAAATTCTGACATATCCGAGAATAATGCTCACCAGCATATCTTCCTTTCCCTTTTCCTTTTCCTTTTCCCTTTCCCTTCTCACTCCAACAATTATCTGACTCCAAACTCTTCACTCCAACCCTTCTCCGCTCACACACACGAAAAAAAAAACTCAGAACAAATAAATATAGAAAAACCCTAAAACCGTTTTGGTGGAGGAAAACATGGCCACCACCACCAGTCTTGGCGGCGGCGCTGGCGGAGATGACCGCGTCCTAGCCACGGCTCAGCAGATCGTGAAGAGCCTCAGAGCCGCCAAAGAGGATCGCGAAGACATGCTTCTGATCTTCTCCACCTTCGATAACCGACTATCCGGCATCTCCGACCTGATAAACGGCGACGATTCCAAATCCTCCGAAGAGGAAGAACTCGACCGCTTCGAAGCCGCGGAGAAAGTGATTCTCGCCGACGCTTCCCTCTCCGACGAGCCTTCGCGCCAATCCACTTCTCTCTTCAACCCTCCTAACAATCCCGTGGAGTACTTTTCCGCGGTTGATGAGATCATCCACTGGATGGAGCAGTTTTCGATCGCGCCACCCTCCTCCGCCGTGGGACGCACAGGGCCCGCCATCGTGGACCGGGCGGAGAACGCGATTCAACTCGCGATGTCTCGACTGGAGGACGAGATGCGGCACGTGCTGATTTGCAACACGATCCCGCTCGACGCCGTGAGCCGCTACGGTTCGATCAGGAGGGTTTCGCTCTCGTTCGGCTCGCACGACGGTGCCATCGACGATACCCTAGAGAGCTTCGGTGAGGTCGGCTCGAGTCGTTTCCACGAGCGAGGCGCGAGCCTCGGCGACGATTTGTTCGTCGATTTGGTGCGTCCCGAAGCGGTTCAGGATCTCAGGCAAATTATCGATCGCATGGTTAGGTCTGGTTATGAGAGAGAGTGTCTTCAGGTTTATAGCAGTGTCCGTCGCGACGCTCTGGATGAGTGTTTAGTCATTCTGGGTGTTGAGCGGTTGAGTATTGAAGAGGTTCAGAGGGTTGAGTGGAGAAGTTTGGATGAGAAGATGAAGAATTGGGTTCAGGCTGTGAAGGTTGTTGTTGGGGTTTTGTTGAGTGGTGAGAAGTGGCTGTGTGATGGTTTGTTTGGGGATTTGGATGACTTGAAGGAGATTTGTTTCAATGAGACTGCTAAGGGGTGTATTATGCAGTTACTGAATTTCGGCGAGGCTATTTCGATTTGTAAGCGCTCGCCAGAGAAGCTGTTTCGGATTTTGGACATGTATGAGGCTCTGAGGGATGCCATGCCTGATTTGCAGGCTATGGTTTCGGATGAGTTTGTGATTGGTGAGGCCAATGGAGTGCTGAGTGGACTTGGTGAGGCTGCTAAAGGGACTTTTGCTGAGTTTGAGAATTGTATTAGGACTGAAACTTCCAAAAAACCAGTTATAACTGGGGATGTTCACCCTTTGCCTCGTTATGTCATGAATTACCTCAAGTTGCTTGTGGATTATGGTGACCCTATGGATTCGCTTCTGGAGATTAGCGAGGAGGATCTCCATCGGTTTAAAAATGATCTTGGTGGTGATGGTTCGCAGTTGGAGGCCATGTCACCCTTGGGGCAGCGGATTCTGTTGCTCATGTCTGAGCTTGAGTATAATCTTGAGGAGAAGTCGAGGCTGTATGAAGATAGTGCTATGCAGCAGGTGTTTTTGATGAACAATCTGTATTACCTAGTGCGGAAAGTGAAGGACTCGGATCTTGGGAAGGTCTTGGGGGATAATTGGATTCGGAAACGACGTGGTCAGATACGGCAGTATGCTACAGGGTATCTCAGAGCCTCTTGGAGCAGGGCCTTGTCTTGTTTGAAGGATGAAGGGATTGGAGGGAGCTCTAATAATGCGTCGAAGATGGCTTTGAAGGAGAGATTCAAAAGCTTCAATGCCTGCTTTGAAGAAATTTATAGGGTTCAGACTGCTTGGAAGGTACCGGACGATCAACTTCGAGAGGAGCTGCGGATATCTATATCGGAGAAGGTGATTCCTGCATATCGCTCTTTTGTGGGTAGATTTAGGAGTCAGCTAGAGGGAAGGCATGCGGGGAAATACATCAAGTATACACCAGAGGATCTAGAGACCTATCTATTAGATTTATTTGAAGGATCCCCTGCTGTATTGCATCACATAAGGAGGAAAAGTACATAGTACATTATAAGATCTTTTAGCAGGTGAACTCATTTTATGAGGATTACTTGAAAACGGTTTCCTGTGTCATGTGTATTTCTACTTGGATAGGTCTTTATTTTACAGGTCTTAATGTTAGAATGGGATTTTGTGAAATTCAAGTCTTCTCCTGGGCCCCTCCCTCAACAACCAAAAAAGATTTTTTTTTTCATGCGAATTCTGTAATATCTTTTGTATATAGTGTCTCATACAGGTTATCTATGTTGTTTATACTTGTTCAAACAGTACATTCATTAGCTATCATAAATTCAGACCATGTGTATTTACGTATCTGCAGTTTGCATAATTGTCGGCTTTTTTTATAATCAAAGGACATTGATATTTTACCAGGTAGTTTTGTATGATGTTTAGCTGATGGTAATCGATTTGAGGAAATATAATAAGGTAGTTGTAGTAACTGGATCTACTCAGGATTAAAAGTGGCTCATGGGAAGCTTGCATAATGTTGTCAATGATCCAAGAAGTTTGATAGTTGGAATTTATGCATTAGCAATTATTTCAATACCTGGATCTGTTCGTTTTTATCTCACTGTCTTCCAACACCTGAGAGCACTTTAAGATTTACTTAGCCCTTTTTAAGCAATACTTGGGACGGCCTTCATTCAAATCATAATTCGTAGCTCCGGCCATGCCGATATGCTACTTTGCTTTTACCTTGTGTAGAAAGGTATATCATATTTACTTGGAAGTCTTGTCATGTTTGCCTGCGGTTTTTCCAGCTAGAGATTGTTGTATGCTCATTGCATCTGCATTTTCATTTAGGAAAATAAAAAGGAAAGGCTTCGGTGCCTACCATATTCTTTGATGTATGAATTATGCATTAAATTGATGTAACATGTTTTCTGTGTGGAAAGAAATGGTTCTGTTTCTGTTTTGTTGGACTCATGATCTGGGTAAGAAACTCTACACTGGGAGAACTGAGGAGGCATGATATGGTGACGGTGTATCTACCTGTCCACATCTTAGCTAAGCCACTAGTCACATTTAGCAGCAACAGAGTTGTGTCTTAATTTGTTCAACGTATCACGGGGAAACGTTAACGCTACGTTATTTAGTTTTTTCATCATTTTCCGCGCGTCATTTATGCAGTATCATTCGGACCAAGTCTATATTGGTAAGTGATGAAAGGAGTAAGATTTGACTAACTTCATATACGATTTTGTCATCATTTATTTATGGATAAAGAATCATTAAATCTATATATTATAAGCTTCTGTAAAATATACTAGTAATATGAAGTATCATACTTAATTTTTTTGTTCTTATTTAGTATGTAGCATTTTGCTTTAGATTATAAGGTGCGTTTAAAAAAAAAAAACAACTAAACGCGTATGATTCTAACAGTATAGTTTTATTTTCTTTTTTGTTGTGGTACCATTCACTCAAGAGTCTGGATCGAAAAGGATTGGAAGGGGAGGGATAGTTTCAATGCAACTTTTCCACAATATAGTTAGTTATCTTCTCGTGCGTCAAACTTTTCTCTGATTTTGTCAACTTATTACGTCAAACACGACGGCGTAAAACAAGAAGTCCCAACAATTGGATTTGTTGGTAATAGAGTCACAAGCCACAGAACCCCCAAATCAACCTCAAGACGAATGAGTTTGTTTCACTGTGATTGGTTACAAACTATCCGTTTACTTAGTCACCAGTTATTACGGTTCTGTATGCTCCAACGCAATGACCTCGTTTTGGTTATCTGTATAAGCACAATGCCACCTTTTTAAGCCCAGAGGTGAAGAGAAAAAGAAAATACAACTTTAAAGCAAAAAGAAAAAATTATGGTTACTTACACTCACGCCAGAATTTACAATACACACAATCTCACTCTAATACCCACTTAATAAAACGGATACAAGTAACTTGCAAAAACTGCCTACACCTTATACAAAGACCCCAAGTACACGTCTTCAGCCCTTAAAAGAACCACATAGGTCTTTTTCACTTTTACTAAAATAATTTATTCCAAAAAAATAAAAGAAAAACCTTGGTGCACCAGGTTATTCTTGGCTATTAAACTCTGGTATTTGCAGGCAGAGGAAGAACACCATCAAAGAAATCACCAAAATAGCCACGGGGTTCATGTACTAGTCTTGATATTATGTCTCTTAGTGTGATTAGTCCTTGCAGATCCCCATCATTGTCCACCACATACACCCTGTGAATCTTCTCTTCATCCAGCAGTTGAATCAACTCTTTCACTGTACAGTCCTCTCTGCATGTAACATATTCACTTACCATTGGGAATGCGTTTTTGTTCTTCTCCAAGTAACTTCTAACCGCTGTCAGGAAGTCCTTTACTGTAATAGCTCTGTTGCAGTGTGAATAACCCATGAGTGTGTAAGTAATGGTACAAAAACTTAGAAGATACAGCCAATTCGGTTTAATAAACTCATTCTGTCAGATTCAATTCATAACACACATACCTATAATCATGGTATATTTCCGGAGCATTTAACAAGAATTGAACATCTCGCAAGCTTATATTACCAACTGCCTTTCCGCTATCTCTCTCAATTACAGGCACTGCTCCAACCCTTTTTTTTCTCATTACTTTAAATGCTTGAAGGACTGGTTCATCTTCATAAACCTGAAAAAAGAAATAGCCCATTATGAAGTCCATCAAAATCAACACGCTTGCTGCGTGAGGAGGAAAGAAAGAAAGAAAGAAATTACTTATCCAAGATGAGAGCATTTTACATATATGTCTACAAATTTAAGATTTGAAGGATAGATTTTACTCCTCCATATGCACTAAAATTATGCTGAATTGATACATTGCTCGGTTAAATGCAGTGAGCTTGAATTGATCCATCTTGACTGTAGTTCATGAAAGGGATTGTGAGAATGTTTATGTTGGTATCAAATTTTTAGAGTTTAGCATAGCATTATACTAATCTTATTTTAGAGTGGCAGTGTTATTGCGATAGCGTGGGGCTGAAATTTTTACTTAAGGTTTGATGTGCTAACGTAATCCAGTTTAATCAATTGATGATGACCTTCAACTTAAGATAGGACCTCACCTTTATGATCTGATCTGGTGTAACCAGGGGAAGACCAACTTCAGATATTTTCTTGGTTCCCCAACTTTCAAACCACTGAAGTCCAGCGCATTCTGCCAGCATATGAATCACGGCAGATTGTGTAATAATCTTATCTATTGTACCAGAGNGCATATAGACATTCATTATATTCACAAATATGACTATATCACAAATGTAATATTCAACACATTGTTTTGTTCAGTAAAACTATTGTTTTTATTTTAGTAAAACTGACTATATTTTTAATGAATGTTGCAAAATAAATTGAGATTTGGTAGTCTTATGCATGTATATGTGTATGAGGTGAGTTCTGTGTCATGAAATCGTTAATGAAATTAAATATTTAAAATACTATCGATAACCTAAATCAAGTAGATAAAAATGTGGTGAAAAATGAATAAAAAATCTTATATTAATGTAAAATTCTATCATAATTAACATGAGTTACCAATTAAGATAAAAATTATAATCTTAGTCTGAACCTTCACCTTAATTTAGGTATTAATCTCAACTTTATTTAGAGTTGTTAAATTTCAAATTTTGTGTTAGTAACTATTATGTATGTCGTAAAACAAATAAGCTCTAGACCTTAAATTTTATTAGTAATATTCAAAATATTGATTGGTTTCTTTTATTTGTTTACTTATATTTTATTTTATAATTGTAGTGATTATATACCTGTACATAAATAAATGTACCTATTGAAGACAATTCTATAGACAAACTTAGATTTTAATATATTTTATACCGGATGACTTTCATCTTTTGAACTACGTGCAGGTATATTTATTTAGATTTATAAACTTGTAGATTTTGATAATTATATCATTATATATGTTGTATATATGTATGTATTCATAAAACGTCGTTTCATATTTTTTTATTTATTTGATACCAACAATAAGCCACATTATAAACAGAATTATCTCTTTAATTATATTGTTACTATTAAAAACTAGAGAACGAAAAACTTTCGTAAATATAAACTTGTTCGATTATAAAATGTTAGTGCAATAAAATTAATGATTTAGGTAACAATTATTTTAAATGTCACATATAAAGTATTTTTAATAAATTAAAAAATATAATTTATTTATATTGGTAATATATATGAAAAGTAAGTATTTAATGGATATATTAATGCGAAGTCCGGATGTTTATCAATCGATTTAGGGGTTTAGTTAATTTTTTAGATTTAAATCCGAAGCCAAACAATTTTAATTAATTCATTTAATTAAAAAATCAACATCGACATTATTAACTTATTCTTACTTAACATTTAGATCTATATGTAGATTTTAAAACCTTTTTTTCCTTCTCTTTCTTCTTTTATTTATCTCTTTAATTGATTTTGATACTCTTACAGCGTAATATAAACGTTACTAAGTGTTTGAATTTGGTGTTTATTGTATAAAATTATATCATATTTTGGTAAAGTATATAATGATGTAGGTAAAATAAGAAAAAAAATACCTATATGCAATTTGTTGATGTTTTTTTTTTCTAATTGAAGTAATTAATACATAATATAATTGAATTATACACTTCAAAACAATTCAATAAATTAATTAAAAATATTACTTATTATCTTAAATATTTTTAATATTAATAATTGTTTGTAAATAATTTAATTTACGCTAGATCAATTAGATATGAATTACACTATATTAATTAGATATAAATTCTTTCTTATTTGCAAACACTTTTTTTCAATTTAACTAAAGTATTTTCTTCTAATATTTTACAAACAATATTAATTTGATGTGAACATTATGTTGTAAATTAGTTTAACCCAAACACTCAAAGAATTCAAATTTTTTTACTTGAATTTCAATTAGGATCTTGTGCATGTCCTACTAATAAAACCATTTTTTATTTTCATTTTTAATGACAATGAAAGGAAAATGATGAAATAATGGATGAAGTATGAATTAAGATGACGGATTAAGAAATGATGTACATCTAAGTGACAACAAATGAGATACAATGAAACATAAATAACGCAAAATAAATTACACAAACTAAATTATAAAGAAAAATAAAGAAATTTATAAAATAAATCAACAAAAGTGACAATCCAAATTACAACAACTAATTGAATTAATAATTTTTCTTGTTCGCGATGTTATAATAATATGTTGTTTTTTCCATGTTGCTCTTACAAAATACAAAAATTAATCTATTTGTATTTTTCTATCCATTATTTTACAATTACAAAAGAGTAAAATTAAATAAACTATATGTCAAACCACCCTATTTACTAAAATTCCATAAGACTACGTCAATAAACTTAATTCAAGCATAAATATTGTGTGTGTGTGTGTATATATATATATATAATTTAAGTCTTTATTTTTCGTTAACTGGAAAAAGACGGGTTTTAATAATATTAATTTAGTTTTGCTAGACCAATTAAATTTAAAATTTAAATCAAATTAATACGAATGAACGGATTTTAATAAATAACGTTTAGTCTTGATTTAAGCTCGAACGAATTAAACCCATTAATACCACTTATGCCGAATGATTTTCCAAATCTCTTTTGTTCAAGTCGCAAAAAATACCATTTGAATGAAAACGATTTAAATTAATGACAAATTATTGGAACTTTGACGAAAAATTATCTGCATCAAATCAATCATATTAGGAGAAATATCCTGGTTCAGACAAAATATTTTTAAACTCCTATTTATTTAAAGGACAGAAAATAAGATAAAAAAATATATGTAAATTAAAAAAAGAAAGGAAAAAGGACTAGTGTTCAAAGTTCATATTTGAGTTGTTTTTAACTAAATTAATATATTATTTTCCTCTCTAACAGTCATCCTTAGATTAATATAGTTGTTTTAGATTCATACATGTGCTTTCACACTGTACAGAAATCAGTATTGTGTTAAAAATAAGTTTTGAGAAATGTATAAACTGAAACGCAGTTTATAATTATAATAGTGATAGATATAATTAATTATTGAAATTATGCAGCAATTTGGAGAAGGGTTGAAAAGAGAGGCATGGTGATTTGTTTAACCAAATATGAACCCAGATCGTAAAAACTCCACAAAGTCCACAGCGTGATTAGCAAGGTCTTCACCCTCTAACTCCAACTAAGCCGGCTAAAACTGGTTTTTTCTTCCCTTATTTTCTGTCTCCCCAAACACTCCGCAACAACACCAAAAATAAAAAATAAAAAATGAAAAATAAAAAATATAAATAAATAAAATTCTGACATATCCGAGAATAATGCTCACCAGCATATCTTCCTTTCCCTTTTCCTTTTCCTTTTCCCTTTCCCTTCTCACTCCAACAATTATCTGACTCCAAACTCTTCACTCCAACCCTTCGCCGCTCACACACACAAAAAAAAACTCAGAACAAATAAATATAGAAAAACCCTAAAACCGTTTTGGTGGAGGAAAACATGGCCACCACCACCAGTCTTGGCGGCGGCGCTGGCGGAGATGACCGCGTCCTAGCCACGGCTCAGCAGATCGTGAAGAGCCTCAGAGCCGCCAAAGAGGATCGCGAAGACATGCTTCTGATCTTCTCCACCTTCGATAACCGACTATCCGGCATCTCCGACCTGATAAACGGCGACGATTCCAAATCCTCCGAAGAGGAAGAACTCGACCGCTTCGAAGCCGCGGAGAAAGTGATTCTCGCCGACGCTTCCCTCTCCGACGAGCCTTCGCGCCAATCCACTTCTCTCTTCAACCCTCCTAACAATCCCGTGGAGTACTTTTCCGCGGTTGATGAGATCATCCACTGGATGGAGCAGTTTTCGATCGCGCCACCCTCCTCCGCCGTGGGACGCACAGGGCCCGCCATCGTGGACCGGGCGGAGAACGCGATTCAACTCGCGATGTCGCGACTGGAGGACGAGATGCGGCACGTGCTGATTTGCAACACGATCCCGCTCGACGCCGTGAGCCGCTACGGTTCGATCAGGAGGGTTTCGCTCTCGTTCGGCTCGCACGACGGCGCCATCGACGATACCCTAGAGAGCTTCGGTGAGGTCGGCTCGAGTCGTTTCCACGAGCGAGGCGCGAGCCTCGGCGACGATTTGTTCGTCGATTTGGTGCGTCCCGAAGCGGTTCAGGATCTCAGGCAAATTATCGATCGCATGGTTAGGTCTGGTTATGAGAGAGAGTGTCTTCAGGTTTATAGCAGTGTCCGTCGCGACGCTCTGGATGAGTGTTTAGTCATTCTGGGTGTTGAGCGGTTGAGTATTGAAGAGGTTCAGAGGGTTGAGTGGAGAAGTTTGGATGAGAAGATGAAGAATTGGGTTCAGGCTGTGAAGGTTGTTGTTGGGGTTTTGTTGAGTGGTGAGAAGAGGCTGTGTGATGGTTTGTTTGGGGATTTGGATGACTTGAAGGAGATTTGTTTCAATGAGACTGCTAAGGGGTGTATTATGCAGTTACTGAATTTCGGCGAGGCTATTTCGATTTGTAAGCGCTCGCCAGAGAAGCTGTTTCGGATTTTGGACATGTATGAGGCTCTGAGGGATGCCATGCCTGATTTGCAGGCTATGGTTTCGGATGAGTTTGTGATTGGTGAGGCCAATGGAGTGCTGAGTGGACTTGGTGAGGCTGCCAAAGGGACTTTTGCTGAGTTTGAGAATTGTATTAGGACTGAAACTTCCAAAAAACCAGTCATAACTGGGGATGTTCACCCTTTGCCTCGTTATGTCATGAATTACCTCAAGTTGCTTGTGGATTATGGTGACCCTATGGATTCGCTTCTGGAGATTAGCGAGGAGGATCTCCATCGGTTTAAAAATGATCTTGGTGGTGATGGTTCGCAGTTGGAGGCCATGTCACCCTTGGGGCAGCGGATTCTGTTGCTCATGTCTGAGCTTGAGTATAATCTTGAGGAGAAGTCGAGGCTGTATGAAGATAGTGCTATGCAGCAGGTGTTTTTGATGAACAATCTGTATTACCTAGTGCGGAAAGTGAAGGACTCGGATCTTGGGAAGGTCTTGGGGGATAATTGGATTCGGAAACGACGTGGTCAGATACGGCAGTATGCTACAGGGTATCTCAGAGCCTCTTGGAGCAGGGCCTTGTCTTGTTTGAAGGATGAAGGGATTGGAGGGAGCTCTAATAATGCGTCGAAGATGGCTTTGAAGGAGAGATTCAAAAGCTTCAATGCCTGCTTTGAAGAAATTTATAGGGTTCAGACTGCTTGGAAGGTACCGGACGATCAACTTCGAGAGGAGCTGCGGATATCTATATCGGAGAAGGTGATTCCTGCATATCGCTCTTTTGTGGGTAGATTTAGGAGTCAGCTAGAGGGAAGGCATGCGGGGAAATACATCAAGTATACACCAGAGGATCTAGAGACCTATCTATTAGATTTATTTGAAGGATCCCCTGCTGTATTGCATCACATAAGGAGGAAAAGTACATAGTACATTATAAGATCTTTTAGCAGGTGAACTCATTTTATGAGGATTACTTGAAAACGGTTTCCTGTGTCATGTGTATTTCTACTTGGATAGGTCTTTATTTTACAGGTCTTAATGTTAGAATGGGATTTTGTGAAATTCAAGTCTTCTCCTGGGCCCCTCCCTCAACAACCAAAAAAGATTTTTTTTTTCATGCGAATTCTGTAATATCTTTTGTATATAGTGTCTCATACAGGTTATCTATGTTGTTTATACTTGTTCAAACAGTACATTCATTAGCTATCATAAATTCAGACCATGTGTATTTACGTATCTGCAGTTTGCATAATTGTCGGCTTTTTTTATAATCAAAGGACATTGATATTTTACCAGGTAGTTTTGTATGATGTTTAGCTGATGGTAATCGATTTGAGGAAATATAATAAGGTAGTTGTAGTAACTGGATCTACTCAGGATTAAAAGTGGCTCATGGGAAGCTTGCATAATGTTGTCAATGATCCAAGAAGATTGATAGTTGGAATTTATGCATTAGCAATTATTTCAATACCTGGATCTGTTCGTTTTTATCTCACTGTCTTCCAACACCTGAGAGCACTTTAAGATTTACTTAGCCCTTTTTAAGCAATACTTGGGACGGCCTTCATTCAAATCATAATTCGTAGCTCCGGCCATGCCGATATGCTACTTTGCTTTTACCTTGTGTAGAAAGGTATATCATATTTACTTGGAAGTCTTGTCATGTTTGCCTGCGGTTTTTCCAGCTAGAGATTGTTGTATGCTCATTGCATCTGCATTTTCATTTAGGAAAATAAAAAGGAAAGGCTTCGGTGCCTACCATATTCTTTGATGTATGAATTATGCATTAAATTGATGTAACATGTTTTCTGTGTGGAAAGAAATGGTTCTGTTTCTGTTTTGTTGGACTCATGATCTGGGTAAGAAACTCTACACTGGGAGAACTGAGGAGGCATGATATGGTGACGGTGTATCTACCTGTCCACATCTTAGCTAAGCCACTAGTCACATTTAGCAGCAACAGAGTTGTGTCTTAATTTGTTCAACGTATCACGGGGAAACGTTAACGCTACGTTATTTAGTTTTTTCATCATTTTCCGCGCGTCATTGATGCAGTATCATTCGGACCAAGTCTATATTGGTAAGTGATGAAAGGAGTAAGATTTGACTAACTTCATATACGATTTTGTCATCATTTATTTATGGATAAAGAATCATTAAATCTATATATTATAAGCTTCTGTAAAATATACTAGTAATATGAAGTATCATACTTAATTTTTTTGTTCTTATTTAGTATGTAGCATTTTGCTTTAGATTATAAGGTGCGTTTAAAAAAAAAAAACAACTAAACGCGTATGATTCTAACAGTATAGTTTTATTTTCTTTTTTGTTGTGGTACCATTCACTCAAGAGTCTGGATCGAAAAGGATTGGAAGGGGAGGGATAGTTTCAATGCAACTTTTCCACAATATAGTTAGTTATCTTCTCGTGCGTCAAACTTTTCTCTGATTTTGTCAACTTATTACGTCAAACACGACGGCGTAAAACAAGAAGTCCCAACAATTGGATTTGTTGGTAAAAGAGTCACAAGCCACAGAACCCCCAAATCAACCTCAAGACGAATGAGTTTGTTTCACTGTGATTGGTTACAAACTATCCGTTTACTTAGTCACCAGTTATTACGGTTCTGTATGCTCCAACGCAATGACCTCGTTTTGGTTATCTGTATAAGCACAATGCCACCTTTTTAAGCCCAGAGGTGAAGAGAAAAAGAAAATACAACTTTAAAGCAAAAAGAAAAAATTATGGTTACTTACACTCACGCCAGAATTTACAATACACACAATCTCACTCTAATACCCACTTAATAAAACGGATACAAGTAACTTGCAAAAACTGCCTACACCTTATACAAAGACCCCAAGTACACGTCTTCAGCCCTTAAAAGAACCACATAGGTCTTTTTCACTTTTACTAAAATAATTTATTCCAAAAAAATAAAAGAAAAACCTTGGTGCACCAGGTTATTCTTGGCTATTAAACTCTGGTATTTGCAGGCAGAGGAAGAACACCATCAAAGAAATCACCAAAATAGCCACGGGGTTCATGTACTAGTCTTGATATTATGTCTCTTAGTGTGATTAGTCCTTGCAGATCCCCATCATTGTCCACCACATACACCCTGTGAATCTTCTCTTCATCCAGCAGTTGAATCAACTCTTTCACTGTACAGTCCTCTCTGCATGTAACATATTCACTTACCATTGGGAATGCGTTTTTGTTCTTCTCCAAGTAACTTCTAACCGCTGTCAGGAAGTCCTTTACTGTAATAGCTCTGTTGCAGTGTGAATAACCCATGAGTGTGTAAGTAATGGTACAAAAACTTAGAAGATACAGCCAATTCGGTTTAATAAACTCATTCTGTCAGATTCAATTCATAACACACATACCTATAATCATGGTATATTTCCGGAGCATTTAACAAGAATTGAACATCTCGCAAGCTTATATTACCAACTGCCTTTCCGCTATCTCTCTCAATTACAGGCACTGCTCCAACCCTTTTTTTTCTCATTACTTTAAATGCTTGAAGGACTGGTTCATCCTCATAAACCTGAAAAAAGAAATAGCCCATTATGAAGTCCATCAAAATCAACACGCTTGCTGCGTGAGGAGGAAAGAAAGAAAGAAAGAAATTACTTATCCAAGATGAGAGCATTTTACATATATGTCTACAAATTTAAGATTTGTAGGATAGATTTTACTCCTCCATATGCACTAAAATTATGCTGAATTGATACATTGCTCGGTTAAATGCAGTGAGCTTGAATTGATCCATCTTGACTGTAGTTCATGAAAGGGATTGTGAGAATGTTTATGTTGGTATCAAATTTTTAGAGTTTAGCATAGCATTATACTAATCTTATTTTAGAGTGGCAGTGTTATTGCGATAGCGTGGGGCTGAAATTTTTACTTAAGGTTTGATGTGCTAACGTAATCCAGTTAAATCAATTGATGATGACCTTCAACTTAAGATAGGACCTCACCTTTATGATCTGATCTGGTGTAACCAGGGGAAGACCAACTTCAGATATTTTCTTGGTTCCCCAACTTTCAAACCACTGAAGTCCAGCGCATTCTGCCAGCATATGAATCACGGCAGATTGTGTAATAATCTTATCTATTGTACCAGAGCCTAAATCCAACACAGGGACACTCTTCATCTTGTACTTCGAAAGCAACAAGAGCATGGTTAGAAATGAGTTTGATCTCTCTAAAGCAAGAAATGGGGCCCAGCGGAATGTCCCTGCAATGTCACGAACCTGTTTGCTAAAATGTTAGCTAGTGAAATAAACAAAGATTAATCAAACTGAGTAAGTAGCTAGAATAAGAAGCACTTAAAAGAAATTATTTTTGTTTGACATTGTAAAAGCAGATATATTACCGTGGTATTCTTATAAAGTTCAGATGAAGTAAGATCTAGAAAAAAGTTTCCTGCAGTTGTTGCAGCAGATCCAAGGCCTAAGGCTTCAAGTTCCAGAGCAAAACTCAGTCCATTAGCTGCAGCTGCAATTGCCTTTGCACTGGTTGGAGTAGATGGACTCCTAGGTGATGCAGGTTCAGACTGTCAAGAGTATTGTGACATTGGCTTAGTGTGAAAATGAGACATCAAAGAAAAAAATGACTTCAACCACCAGCACCGGGTAATTACTCTGTTATTTAAAAATTGCACTACTTTAAGTTTGGCATTACTACAGTTATTTTCTCCTTGATTGAAAATTACATCTACTTTTCTTAGTTTGTGTATTATTTTTTGACAACGTGATATTTAAAAATTTACACACATCTTCCCTATTTTTATGCACAAACCATAGACATGGTAACCTTGAAAATACAATATATAGAGGTATAAGGAAGGTGGTTTTTCAATAGAAGAAAGGCATAAATGTAATCATCCATGATCTCAAAGGAGATCAGTCTAATTGCCCTTTTTTACTTATTTCACCTTTCAAATGTTCTTTATTCTTTTTGAAAACACTATTAGGCATAGTAACAATCAAATCATCATTCAACAAAATGAAAAAATACCACTGATACACTGAACTGTCCATTTGTACCAGACCCAATAGTCATACTAGATTCAATTTGTCATACTTTGAATCGAATAAAGCATAAAATAGAAAAATGACAGTAACTTCCAGATTCATATGTGTGCAACAATTAATTGAATTGGTATGTAATATGTCCAACAAACCTGATGCAAGATCCATACAACAATTCCAGCAAACTCGACGATTCCGATGTATCTGTCAATCCAACTAGCATCTTCAGGAGCATCAACATCCACCACAGGTGCACTGAAAACATTGTGTCGTGCCAGTTTCATAACAGCTTCGGCCAAGGTGGCGTCTGATTTGATCTCAATTTCTGAACACAAAATAAAAATTTACACGTTGAGAACTAAACCAAAAGACACAAAAAACAAAAAAGAGCAGATATCATAACATGAACTAGATGAAAAAATAAGCCTCACTCATATGACCAGATAGTTTACACTTCACAGCCTAAAATATATTTATCTTGGGTGCCAAGTCAATTTTCATCTGGGTTGAATCAAAATCACTTCTTTCTTCGTTCTTCAATCACCCTTCAAATTCTTTTGATGATCAAAGACGAATATGTTCATAAAAGTGATAAATAAATAGGTACCTTGGTTTGAAGGAGCCAAAGGAAACGCAGAGACAGGGATGCTTTCAAAACAAGCGTTGAGTTTCTCGGTAGGACTTAGCTGTGCCTCTTGTACGTCCCAAAGATCCTCAACTCGCATACCCAATTTCGCTTCTGGGCTCCGAGGACTCTCTCCCATTGTTGCCATTGCCATTACTCTTTTTCTTTCTCTCTCTTTCTTTCTATGTAACTGCACTGAGAAGCTTATAACATTTCTATTCTCCTACACATTCCCATAATAATTAACTGAAAAATAGGATCATAAAATCTACCACGGAGTCACAGACTACTTCCCTACACCTGATATCTTCACCGTTTGATTCTACTACTTAACGTTGAGCGTGGACTCTGGTAAGATCGTACGGACACGATTGTGATACACATTGTGCGCGATGCATTGTAGTGGTCAACGTGATGGTTATCTTGCCCTCACTGTTCGCTATGCTTATCCAAATTTGCATTATTTATTGAAACACTTCCTTGTCCGGTTTTTACTGTGGGCCACGAAAGAGTTTGCCGCGCTAATGTGCGCTGGGAGGGTTTTGCGCGCCCACAGAATTGAGTGTTGTTGAAAATGCGTGCTGCTGATTAATTATTTGAGATCAGAACCTACCACAATAACATTAATGATTGATTGCTTTTTGTGTTTTACTTCTTTTGCCTCTCTGCATTAACGGATAAACCTTAATGTGTCAGTCAGTTTCCACTTAAGGAGTAAAAGTTGCAGTTAATTTAAAATTAATTCTTTTCTTAAAATATTTATTAATTTTATTAAAATATTGTTATTATTATTACTGTTAAAAATATAATTTTATTAAAAAATTATTTATACTTATTTTATTGTAATAACTTAGAAAATAATTAAGAATGATAGTGTTTTTGTAATATGATACAATTATTTTTATTATTAAAAGTCAGTTTATAATAAAAAAATTTATTTAATTGACTTTTATTTTATAAGAATTAATATCTTTTTCTAAACCATTTTTTCTATATTTTTTACTTTATAATTCATTTAGTCGAAGATTGAAGTTCGTTATTTTATGATATAAATTAATTGTTTGTTTATATGCGAATTGCATGTGTAATTGGTGTATTGTCTTTATTGAATTGATTGATTTATGGAAAATTTGATAAATTAACTTATTTCTTTTAATTACAATATTCTTAATATCCATATAAAATAAATCATTACAAAAACAAAAAAGAAAGTTTGTAATGATTATAACAAATTGAAAGGTGTAAAAGTTGGTCGGGGTGAAGAAGTGTGGTAGTGACTATCTCGATGTGGTAATGATCGAAAAGAAGGAGATAGACGAAATTCTCACTTGATAAAAGAGAAACATATCTCTACTGACATCAATGATATCAACGGCTCTGACAAGTCAATGTGACTGCCAAGCCACCTACGATAAGCATTATGATGGCCTGTTGTGGTTATAGACATTGAGGAAGAAGAAACTTGTTTGTTAGGAAGAAGGAGATTGAAGAAGATGGTTTGCATTTTTACACGTGTTGTGGTGGTTTGCACTGATTTATATTTCCACATCCTAATTTCTATCCGTCATAAACCTACTAGACTATTTAAGTGAGAAATTTGTCACTTTTTTTTATCGACAGTTTTATCCATCAGTAATAAACATTTTGAATTATCAATGAATTTCATTGATAGATTTTAAATTTTGTAATTATTGACAAAAAAAATCACTAATAAATAAAATATATATTGTTGATAAAATTTGTTAATAATTAAAATGTTCAAATCTTCGGATCGTCCTCATATTTGTTGGAGAATCGCAACTGGGTTCTCGTTTTTTAAACTGTCTCAATTGAGTCCATATATTTGCAAAATGTCTCAATTGGGTCCAAATATTTGAAAATTTAAGTCAATTAAATCTTGTCCGTTAAGTTTTCTCAAACAACGTTAAAATGTGATGACAGTGAATATGTTGAGATGTATAAAACGTGGAAATAATTAAATTATGACATGAAATTTAGTAAATTAAAAAAAATAAAAAGATTATGGAATCAGCATTCAAAAAAACCCTACAAGCTTCGTTCCTCCTTACCCACAAAACATCTCATCCTCCATTAACTTCATCAGCCATGATCAACATCTCTTTGCCAACCAGCATCGTAAAAACCCCAAAATGGCGAACCATAAATCGTTCTTGTTCTGTTCGCCACGAATCCTGCAAGTGTTGGAAGCTCTCAAACAAGCCAGCACCACATCCAACGACACCACACCTCTGATTCCCTGATGGTGAAGGCGTTAATGCCGCGAACTGCTGTCAATGTCTTCACTATACCGCATCGTCGAGACCGCCACCATGAGCAACCTTGTTGCCGCTGTCGTAGAGCGAAACGTGCCACCCGTATAACCTCTTCTTTGCGCCACAAGCAACATCGTTCAAACCTCCACCGCGAGTTCCCCTCATCCAGAAACGCAATCAGCAGCGAATAACTGCACCTCCGCCGCGACGCAGAAGCGATCCAATGTCCCCATCATCTCGCACAAATCATGTTTTCTCCTTGACTGTTCTTAATCAGCAAACCCAGAAAATCAACACAGTTCATCCCAAAATCAGAAACAACAACCCTAGAATCGCGCAACCCCAATTTGCGCCTTTACCTTCCCTAAATCGTGAACTTCAATGTCTTCCACCTGCATTAGAAAACAGAAACCACGAAGAACCCAAAACCCCATTCGTAAAAATCTCAAATTGTAGAAACCCATAACAGTGCACCTTCTCCTTGCACCTCTCCAAACCATCTTCATTCGTCGTCATCACAAAGCTCACCTAGGATATACTGGTTTAGGATAGAAGTCGAACGGTAACAGAGGGCAACCGAACGGTAACAGGAGACAACCAAACAGTATCAACAGGAGAAATCGAACAGTAATAGGGGCATGCCGAACAATCGCTGTGAAGGAGAAGGAGCGAACCTTATTCTCATAATAAATTTTGCCACGTCAACAACTCTTGTTTTTTAAAAAAATTCCACATAATGAAACACTTTTACATTAACGTGCACCACATCATCACATTTTAACGTCATTTATGAAAACTTAACGGACATGGCTTAATTGGCTTAATTTTTCAAATATTTAGACCTAATTGAGACATTTTTCAAATATATAGACTCAATTGAGACAGTTTAAAAAACAAGGACCCAATTGAGATTCTCCAACAAATATGAGGACGATCCGAGGGTTTAAACCTAATTAAAATTTTAAAATTCATCAATAAATCAAATTGATAGAGAAAATTATATCTATCAATAAAATTTCAAGAATTTTTATAATAAACATATTAGTTGTCTTAATAAGAATACACATGTATAATATTAAATAAATTTTTTTAAACATAATTTCATGAATCATAATCATAGTAATTTTTTAAAATTAAATAATAATCACATTTCACAAATATGAAAAAAAACACCTTTAAATTTAATTTTCACTATTACCTACAATCACATTTATGATGAAGAATTCTCTCTAAACAATATATGGATTACTTTTATGATTCCATTTTGTAAACATGCATGGACATAATTAACACTTATGGAATATTATTAATCAATAAATACTAGGCCTACTTTCACACAGTTGGTATTATTACATGTCATAAAAACCAGTCAACCATGATTAATGAGTATTGGTGAACATGGAGTATTTGATCGATTATGTAGCTCATATAGTCCATTATGATTAAACAACCACGTAATTTGTTATCATAGGTTAAAAATAATGTCTTATCTAAATAAAGAACCAGGATGAAGTATACAATCATTAACAACATCACACAAGAAAACCTAAATACAAGTATCATTGGCTTACCTCACATCTAAGACAAGGTAGTTCCACAAATGTTTTATTAATTATAAAAAGAAATATTAGCATTGTGTTTCTTCTTACTCTTTCTGACCCCATAAGAAAAGAATTAAAAATAATTAATTTGATAAGAGGAAAAACACATCTTTGATTGTAAACAAATAAAGTGCATGATATTCATGGTTTATTCAAAGGCAATTCTAATATAAATAATTAATTAAATACCTGATTTTTTATGATAACAAGAAATCATAATAATATTTTTGTTTTTAGACGATTGAAGTTATACGAACAATTAAATATTGTTAGAAAATAATTAAAAAGACAAACGTACAATATCCACATAAACATATTTATTCATTACTTTTAATTGAAATAAAGTAATCTAGAAAATAATTGTACAAACCCCTCTTATATTTTTCCCTTTTGCAACGTCAGGGAGCAAACGAACGTCAAATAAATTGAATTTAGTTAATTTATTTATATTAAATTTAAAGAAATTTGTCCATTAAATACAAAAGTTTAACTACATTAATTGAAAGAAATATTGAAATACTGTTTCAGCTTGCAAAAGAGAAAAAAGAAAAAAGAAAATGGGAAGTCACCACATATTATAATCAGTAGAAGTGGGTTTTACATTTTACAAGCTTTAAATTAATAGGATTTTTTTGTGAAAGAATGAGTTGACCTAGACCTATGATATCCAAGAGATCAGTGATGTGAGAAGGCATGGTGGATATGATGTGTCATATTATTATAATATGCAGTAGGAAAAGATATATCCTTGTTTGAATTGAATGAATGCGACGCTGACATCACGACATCATAGTTTTAAATTTTTATAATGAAAAAAGACCACCTCATTCCTTTCCTTTGACTGCTTTTTCCCTTACCCATATTTTTTTAATTCTTAAGATGATCTCTTTAGATTTTATTGGTAGTTAGGATAGGTGTGCCTGAGTGACGGTTTTTACCATCGATTTTTTTTATATATAGAAAATTTACTGATTAGTAAGCCATTTTTATTCATATTTTCTGAAGAGTCTTTAAATTTTTTTTCTTAAGCAAAATTAGTATTACTTCAATTTTTTTTAGTGAAGTTTTACATTAAATAAATTTTGAATATATTTATCAATTTATATTTTTAACTTAAATTGAAGACTTAATTTTTATAATGATAAGTTGTGTTTTTTATATTTAAAATTAACGGTTAGATTTTTTTAGATGAGAAACTTTTAAACAAATTAGTTTACACTAAATTGAATTTTGTTTATTGAAAAATGAAATCAAAATAAAAATTAATTATAATAAATATTTAAATTAAAGTAATTTTTAATTAATAAAAATAAATTAAGTTTGTGTTATGCGAAGCATGGAATGGTGGATGTGCGACTTTGGTAGCGGAGAGGATTTTGAAATTGAAGATGGATTAAAAAATAATTACGTTTAGGTATATAATTTTAATGAGGCCTAAAATTCTATTATAATTCTTTTACTTAAATATATATTTTTTCGTTCAGTTGTTTCAGTGTTTATATTTATTATTATTTTTTATTTTATTTTATTTTTTTTAAATGAATTAATTTTGTTTCTTTTCAAATTAAAACTAAATTTAGTTTTTATATAAATGTTGATATTTTTATTAAAATTGACATTTTTATTAATTGGTATTTTTGGAATTATTTTTAAACTAATTTTAATAATTATATTCTAATAATATAATTAAAATTTTTAATATGATAAAAATAAATTAAAATAATAAAAAAGTTAAAATGACAAAATAATGAAGTGATAATATAACTAAATTAAAAATAATAAATCATAGTTAAACTTTTTTTAATGTACACATTCGAATTTAAGGAAATAAAATGTAACATTCCCTAAAACGAAAATTAGATGGATAATGATATAAGAAGCACTACAGATTTATTATGAATAAAATTCTTTACCTGAAGAAAAAAAGTACAACCTAAACTACAAGCTTCACTCCCAACATTCCGCTGAGTCAACTGAAAGATTGTACCCCTAAGCTCACACCATTAAGGTGATCATCACAATAGAGAAACAACAAACAAGATAGACCACAAAAATGCAAAGGTAAGCTAGATACAAAACAATACATCTTAAGTTTAAAGCTTTTCATACATAAATCATCTATATAACACATATCAACCTAAAACATTTTAACATGCAAAGACTTAGACTAACTATCCAGATATTGTATGGAATGTCGAGTTATGGTGGTTCCTACACATGTGTTTGGCCTTTATTGCTTTGCCGAACCCTTGCCCATGGGTTTCACCTTACCAAACACAAGGTTAGTCCTAAAACACCCTTTTACCAAGTGGAGAAAGACCCCTTAGGCTCGGACCTCTTGTTATTCTCACCACATGACTCATCACTCTACTTGAGCATAGATGATCATTAGAATGTCACGACAAACCCCAGCGTAACTCCGACCACTCGTACTATCAATACTTGAAACCACATACTTTCACTTTAAATCACAACACAAGGCACCACCATGTAACTTCTCCGTGAGGATCATGGAATTACGTCCATCAACCATTCTTTCAATACATACATAACATCAAGAATCAAACATTATGTATTTCAATTCATATTACAATTTAATTCATACTCATACATAATCCCGAGTAATTCACCATACCATTTAAATCAAACAAGAACAAATAAGAAAAGAGTAAACCTGGACCATTCGCTCAGCGCATGCCATTCGCTAAGAGAATAAAACTGATAATGCTCCCAGACCTCAACAATTCGCTCAGTGCATACCATTTGCTAAGCAAATAAAACTGACAATGCTCCCAGACTTCAACAATTCGCTCAGCGCATACCATTCGCTAAGCGAAAGTCCTCTGAAAGCAAACCAAACTTTTGACCTTTCATCGAGCGAATTCCAAACAAGTTAGGGACTCTAACAAGTCCCAAATGACTTATCAAGACTCTCCAAACTGACCCTTTACACACAGAACTCCAAACTCAAGTTTTCACAATCCTACTTCCTCCAAATTGAATTCTAACACAAGTAGAACTCTTCCTCATTACCAATACACTCTACTAACTCAATTCTCTAACATTCCAAATGTTAAACAAAACCCAAATCAGTTCATAAACAACCTCAATTCCACCAATTCAGTTCAACAACCCTTTCTCACCTTTTTACTATCTTAAACCTTCATTTTATACCAAACCACCAACAACCAAGATTACTCTTTTATATAATAGTCCCATTTTGGTGCAATTCAGCTCAAGCACATCAACTATAACATCATAACACATATATAACAGATTCCACATATTATCAACATCAATCAACATACAAAGCATGCATTCATCCAATTTCTTGTTACAAAATCACACTTTTCAACTTAAACAACTTAATTATAATAACTCTCAAATTCACACAGCATATTACAAATTTTAAAAGAGCTAACTAGCTTCCCTTACCTCAATAAAGCTGGCACAGTTCAAGAATACCTCCACATTTGCTTCCATCGCAAGGAACCTTTAGAACAACCTACGAATCACCAATTGGCGATTGGAGACAAACTTTAGAACCTAAATTAAGTCAAGAACTAAAGAAGGAAACCACTTGATACATGCAACCAGATTTCTTTGCATGATCAAGGATCAAGAAAATACTAAGAAAAAGGAATGAAAACTTACTTGCTCTAAACGACAAACTGATCTGTTGGATTGGAAGACCTTGACGTCGTGGTCGTCTAGGCACCTCCTGATCGTCAAATAGATGACTTGAGATCAAGAAGTCTTAGAGAGAATGTAGAGAACTCTAGAAAAGTGGTTTGTAGAGAGATGATACGCTTTAAAATAATGAAACTCGTTTATAACAAAAATATTTATAGTAAAATGATTTAATATTAAAATAATCGATTCACACTGTTTTTAAACTATCGCCACTTCTAAAACACCATTTTTTAGGATTTTACATGAAACAAATTTAATCTAAAACAAAAAAATCTAATAAGTAAAATGAGACTTTTTCTTTTCAAAACTTCACACTTAAGTTGGTTGGCTATTTAAAAATAAAAGATAAATTTAATATTATTACGGAGTTTTTAATATTTCATGAATTAATTTTATACTAACTTTAATTATATTATTAAAATATAATTATTATACTTTATTTAAAAATAATAAAAATACTAATAAGAATATGTACTTTAATTTATAAAAATTAAATTTAGTCTTAGTTTAAAAAAATTGTTTAATTTTAAAAAAATTGAAACCAAATTAAAAAAATAACAAATGTAAAGACATACAAAGCATAACACGTGTCACATTACATAAATTAACACAAACAATTTTCTTAATAAAAAAATAAAAAATAAAAAAACAAATAAATCACGTAACATATACTATTTACTATTTATCGGACATTATCTAAAAGGATTTAATTGAATAAAATTGATAAAAATTATAACTTAACTAAAAAACAAGAAAAACTAAGATGACATTGAAAAAAACTGAATGAAACATGAAGTAAATTTTACGAGGTGCAAGGAAAAAAAAAGGAGGTACAGGAAAGAAATGGCCTATTTGAAAACTTATGTAAAACAAATAACCCCAAAAGGTGTTGGATATATTGTACGAAAACAGAGACTTTTTATTTAAATGATAGATAGAGATATTTTATTAAAGAGTGTTGCTCTCTTCACCACCAAATGCTACCTACATCACTTCATACCTAATTTGTTGTGACACCGAGGCACTGACGAGGGTGGGGAGTGATCGTCGGTGCAAGAGGCATGAAGTGCAAGGGGCACAGACAAGGAGCGGCTCCTTGCAGGCTTCGAGTGGAAGGGACACATGGATGAATCGAACATACACCGGAATGAGAGGGAACTAGAGACGGTATAGGTATGAGACTATACAGTTGAAGGATAGCTTAAAAGGATTGATTTGGCTACTCATATCACCAAATGCATTTGCTTTTCGGTAGCCTAACTCATAAGAACTTCATGGTTAAGTGTGCTTAGCCTAGAGTACGGTGTGGTTCGAGGACGAACCAGACGGAAGCTGGTGGGCATGTGACACCCGGGCACTGACGAGGGCGGGGAGTGATCGCCGGTGCAAGAGGAGTGGAAGGGACACATGGATGAATCGAACATACACCAGAACGAGAGGGATCTAGAGACTGTATAGGTATGAGACTATACAGTTGAAGGATAGCTTAAAGGGATTGATTTGGCTACTCATATCACCAAATGCATTTTGCTTTTCGGTAGCCTAACTCATAAGAATTTCATGGTTACATTTGTCCTTGTTATAAAAAGGATGTCAACATCTTGACATCTGTTTACATATTTTATATTTTATTTTATTGTTTTTATTTAAAAAAAAAGAAAACTTCAACAGATGTGACACATCTGTTTAATAGATTTTAAAATATATTTTTAAAATTATTTAAATAATAATACAAAAATTAAATTTAATAATATTTATTTTATTAAATAAAATAATATTATTTTAAAATAATTAAGTAATAATTTTAAAAAAATTAAATATTATTTATATATTAATTTAAAATACAATAAATTAAAAAACTAAAAACTAAAAAGAAAAAAAAACAAAATTCGTGTCACATCCGTTAACACATCCGTTTTAATAGATTTATAAAATATATTTTAATTATTATTTAAATAATAATACATAAATTAAATTAATAATTATTATTTTATTAAATAAAATAAAACTAATTTATAAATAATTAAGTAATAATTTTAAAAAAATTAAATAATATTTATATATTAATTTAAAATACAATAAATTAAAAGACTAAAAATTAAAAAGAAAAAAGAACTTCAACGGAACGGATGTGACACATCGGTTTTAATAAATTTTTATTTTAATTATTATTTAAATAATAATACATAAATTAAGTTAATAATAATTGTTTTATTAAATAAAATAAAATTAATTTATAAATAATTAAGTAATAATTTTCAAAAAATTAAATAATATTTATATATTAATTTAAAATACAATAATTTAAAAAACTAAAAGCTAAAAAGAAAAACTTCAATTGATGTCGCCACATTCGTTAACAAAAGTGACATATCCGTTTTAATAAATTTATAAAAAATATTTTAATTATTATTTAAATAATAATAAATAAATTAAATTAATAATTATTATTTTATTAAATAAAATAAAATTAATTTATAAATAATTAAGTAATAATTTTAAAAAAAATTAAATAATATTTATATATTAATTTAAAATACAATAAATTAAAAAACTAAAAGTTAAGAAAAAAAAACTCAACTTCGTTAAAAAAATTTTCTTCAATGGATGTCGACATCCGTTTAAGAAAAGTAGGATATAAGATATTTTAAAATATAAAGAATAGTTTTAAAATTTTAAAATAAATATAATGGTGAGAGAGTAACGTGGGGTGATGTAGGGAGTAATCCTCAATGCATTATAGCACTGGAGTAAAAGAAAATGTGGGCTTTGTAATGGACCCAGCCCAACCCACCGGAATGGAGTGTCGGGATGAGGCAGGCCCAGTTGGTAGGAAGTTGGAAAAGTGAGAGGAACTGAACGTTATGCGTTTAGAGAAGAGTATAGGATACAAATTTGAGAAATGGAATGGCGCAATGACCAGTGCTTACGTTTATGACACAGTAATGGAGAAAGAAGCAATCGCCAGCAAACACTGAATCTCCTATCTCTAAGGATAAACAGTAAGAACATTTTTCTGTCCTATTTTCCATCTAATTAGGGTTTTCACGCTCTTCCTTCTTCTAGATCTAATACTTCTTACAACCTATTTAGAATTTAGAACAATGAACAACAATAATCCGCCAAAAAATGCTTCAACGCCGTCGTTTTTCACCAACCCGGCTGCACCGTCAATCCCCATGAACCACCCATCACCCCACCTTCTCTCACAGACGCAGCCTCAACCGCAAGCTGGTGCCTCTCACTTCCATGGCCATTTTCAGCTCTCGCAACCGCAAATCCACGTCCTCGCACAGCCACACCCTGTTCCTCCCCCACAGGTGCATAACAATTCCAATACCAATGCCAACGTTGCAACACCTGCGCCTCCCAAGCGTGCAAATCACAAACCCCCTTCACGCCCTCCAGGTTCCTCCAACGCCACCCAATCCTCTGCCTTCAAGACCATGGAACTTACCGTGGCGCCTCCTCGGAAAAAGAGAAGCTTTCCCGATAAGCTCATTCCCGACAAGGTGGCCAAGCTTGTGCCCGAGTCTGCTATTTATGCCAAGTTGCTTGAACTTGAGACCCACGTAGATTCTGTTTTGGTTAGGAAGAAAATTGATGTGCAGGAGAATTTGAGAAACCCTCGCTGTGTTAGGAGAACGCTTAGGATTTATGTGTATAATACATTTTCGAAACAGGTGAAAGTGGAACCTGGGAAGATTGATGTGGAGGAGCTTTCTTGGGTTCTCAGGATGACCGGAAGGGTGTTGGAAGATGGTAAGGATCCTGTGGCAGATGGAGTTTTGCCTAAAGAAAATCCAAGATTCTCGGCTTTCTTCAAGAAGATTACCATTTACTTGGATCAGGGTTTCTATCCGGATAACCATGTTGTTGTGTGGGATAGTGCCCGTTCGACTGCGCAGCGCGATGGTTTTGAGGTGAAGAGGAAAGGAGATAAGGAATTCACGGCGGTTGTTAGAATGTCAATGAATTATTCGCCTGACAAATTTATGGTATCGGCTCAGCTGGCTAGAGTGTTAGGGGTTGAGTTTGACTCCCGCTCTAGGATCATTGCTGCTCTTTGGCACTATGTGAAGGCTAAGAAGTTGCAGAGTCCCAATGACCCTTCGTTCTTCATGTGTGATGCTTCTCTCCAAAGGGTGTTTGGGGAGGAGAAGATGAAATTTTCGGTGGCTTCGCAGAAGATATCACAGCATTTGTCACCTCCGCAGCCTATACACCTGGAGCATAAAATCAAGCTTTCGGGAAATTGTCCAGCCGGAGCTACGTGTTACGATGTGCAGGTTGATGTGCCTCTTCCACTAGAGAAGGATATGTCTTCATTCTTGGAAAGCACTGAGAAGCACAAAGAGATTGATGCTTTTGATAAACTGATATCTGATTCCATAAAGAAGATCCATGAACATCATAGGAGACGGGCATTCTTTCTCGGCTTTAGTCAGTCCCCAGCGGAGTTTATTAATGCTTTGATAGCTTCTCAAAGCAAGGATCTGAAGCTTATTGCTGGAGATGTGAGCCATAGTGTTGAGAATGAACGGCGTTCTGAATTCTACAATCAACCATGGTAAGCATTATTCTATTCCCTATTTCATTTGTTGAGAGTTGAAGATGGTGAAACAACCTTTTAAAACAGGCAGGTTAAGAAAGAAAGTGTCTGGCTGACCCTAATTTTAGACAGTAACCATTACTAATGCAAAGCTCCTCTAAATGAGCTAATAAGGGTGTACACATAGGACCTTGATTTGATTTGAAGTACTTTCAAAAGTAGATACTTTTTTAAGTACAAACTTATTTCAGAGGTGCATTTTCCATTTTATAGTACTATTTTATTTGTTCTACAGAGTTTTGTTTGTGCTATCAAATAAGGCATACATTATGCGCTGCAAAGATACTAAATGTTTTATGTCTGATTTGGTAGAATAAAGGCAGAACCAGTTAGGGATTTAATCTTGATGTAATGGTATATATGACTGGAGCTTGTAATGAAAATGATTTAAATATGTCACTTTATTGTTTGGAGATTTTATAGTGGGATAGAGATTACCTTTTATTGTCTACAAAAAGGAAGCAATGAAATAAGCTATAACCTTATAGTTCATATATTAACCCCACTATAAAATCACATTCTTAGCTGGCCAAAATAGGGATTTTATTTTCTTAATTTTAGCTCCATCCACTGCACGCCAAATTGAGAGGGAATAAAAACAAGAGTGGATATTAGAATGGGATAGATGAGGTCTCATCCCCTTCCATACTGATCTATTTTTATTTTTACAAAATAAACAAGGTTTAATCATCTCGGACATCCCTATTTGTGCAGTGTTATCTCAATTAGGTCTTCGTATTGTAAATATTCTCAATTAAGTCCCTATTTATGTAAAATTGAGTCAATTAGAGTCTTGTCGTTAATTTTGTTATAACAGCGTTAAGATTGCAGTGATGTAGGATGTTGACTTTACAAAGTGAGATATGTGGCAGAGTTACGTTGAATTTAATTATTTTAAATTTTAAAAAACTATCTTCCTTCTTTCTCGCATTCATCCTCTTCCTCTTTATCCTCTCCTTGCCGTCTCCCTCCGCCTCCCCTCCAATTCAAAGACAGTCTTAGTGGTACAACTACACTGCAATCCAACTGCTACACAGTGTGAATCAGTGAGAAAATAATAAAAGAAAATCACAAAAATATTACAAACAATGGACATAGAAAGAACTATCACAATATAAAGTGATGATATTCTCCACCAAATATAACCTGATAGCAACGTCCTCTTCTTTTGCTAAAATATAGACACAGCAAGTTGCATAATCATGAACAAAATGAAACAAGCACTGAGACTCTACGATGCATAATAGATAGGGATTTGGAACTCGAAGAAATGATAATGCGGTTAGTTTGAGAAAAACTCTAGTATGCCTTAGTTT